AACAAACCGGCCCACGCGCGGGTGAGCAGCCAGCCCACGCGCGGGAGCAGGCCGGTCCAGGACGGATCCGCAGCGGTCGCGGCAATCTTCCAAAAGAGCCCTCGTTATCTTTCTAATTCACATTACGACTGTTGACACTATTCATCTTAGTCACAGGTTTTGCATTTCGACCCAAAAATCACTTTCTACTTTAACCTTCTCACCTTCTCTTCTTCTTCTACGAACGGAGGAACAGAGGAGCACCAGACGGCGGCGTCAATCGACCAACCTCCGGCCATCCTACGCACCCGACGGTGGTAGGGAGACGGCGCGAGGCAGCGACGGTCCAGGACACGCACAGAGGTGGCCAAAACTCTCCCCACCGTGGCCCGTAGAGACGCGACCATGCATAGCGGCGGTGCGACGACCGGCAACTGGCGACGACAGTGCTGCGGGGCGTGGTGGCTGGTGAGACCGAGCTCCCGGGCACCGAGCGGACAAGCCCCCCCCGGCTAGACCCTGCTCATGGCGGGACAGGGCGCCGTGGCCTGGCCGCGTGCGAGCAGCATGGCGAAGGTCCGAGCAGGGCCGCGGCGGCTGTGGTCCAGCACGAGACCGCAGGTACGCGCGTACGCTAGGAGACGGAAGACGGCGGTGCAGGTGGAGGCAAGGTGCTGCGGCTCGGTTCGGCGGTGTGCGGGACAAGGGGCGCGGCGGCCGGATGCGGCACGGCAGCCCGGCGGCGGCGGCCGAGGAGCGGGGAGGTGTTTCGCGGCTCGGGCGAGCAGGCGCGTGGGAGAGAGCCGCGGGACACGAGCGCGCCTGGCCACGGCGGTGGACCAAGGCAGAGGGGGAAGGAGAGGGGACGCCGGCGCGGGACGCGCAGGGTGCTCGTGAAGGACGGCAGGGTCACTTCACTGACGCGGATGATGGCGGGGCGCCGGCATGCTGGGCGCTGCGGCTCGGGCGTGGCCACGGCGTGCGGCGGCAGCGGCAGGCCGCGGCAGTGGCTCGTGCGCGCCTGCGTGCGCGGCGGCCGACAACGGAAGTGGCCGCAGAAGCTGGAGGGGAAAAATGGCACTGCACGCGAGAGGAAAACGATGAGCTGTGCACGGGCAGCGGGGAAAGGAGAGGCGACGCTGAGAGCTTTCGCGAGATGGGGGACGGAAACGCCGCCGCCGACGAGCAGGATTTCGGCAGCAGAAATAGAACAAAGAAGGGGACAGCAGTGGCAGGGAGACGTCCCGCCGATCAGTTCGCTTGCTATTCCAAAGTCAACCACGACAGCCAACAGCTTGGCACAGCGTGGACGGTGCCGGTGCACGTACAGGCAGGGAGTGGACCTAGCGTGGCAGGAGAGGTAGGCAAGAACTAGCGGAAGCAGATAAAAGCAATCAAGAGACAAGCCGAGGCAGACACCGAGAGAGTGAGATGGAGAAAAATAGGGCGACGACATTTTCACGGCTCGGCCATCTCCATCAACGCAGGGACAGCGCGGTGTTTTTCGGTAGCGTTGCAAAGCGACGTGACAACGGAGGTAGTGGCTACTCGGCGGTGCTGTACGGAACCTGCTCGACTGGCGCTAATAAAAATTCGGACGCGACGCAAGAGAAAAGGACACGGACGCGGGTAAACAGACACGCCGCGGTGGGCATCAACGTGGGCAGTGCATAGACTAGACGACTCGAACGTGTCAGAATGCGAAGGCAGCCAACAAGCAGCAGCGGCCAGCCAGCGAGCTCAGTCTAATCACGTAACGCGCGCGTCGTTCCAACGAGGTAGGCGGGCTGAATGGTCATCGGTACTTTCATTATTATTTTAAATGCAACAAAAAATCATACTCCGAATTTTTACTTAAGTACTATATACCGGTCGTATCGTATTTTGTTTATAAAATTGTTTTTTGTGTTTAATCAATTAAACACGCCATTCGCTATTTATTTGCTAGAATCGTTATCGGACATCTCTAAATATTTCTACGCACTGCGTAATTTAACTCAAGCGTTTATTCGAGTCCACGAAACTAAGTCACACAGGATTCGCTTATCGCCTCAAGTATGTTTAAATTAAAAATTCCGAGGAACTGTTTTGAAAATCTGACTTAGGCCTAAATCGCGGTGCTAAACATGCTCGGTGTTACATGCATGCCTCCACTTCGCAAGTGGAACTGTTTTTTAGCTTATAAACTCAACGAATAGCTCTATTGGTGGAGCTGCTAAAATAACTCCTCATGGTGGGCAAAAAGAATGAAATGACCGTAATGTTCTTCTCTTTATTTTTTCGTTATTTTCTCCTCTCTATTTCTTTCTTTTGTAATCTCATTCGGCGTTTCTTCTCACCGCGGCCATCCCCTTCGCGAAATGGGTGGAGGTGCCTCTGCGCGCCCCGATGACGTGCGCCTCGATGGCCAGCGCACCTCGGCGGCTGCACCGGCGTGTCGTGCTTCGGGCCACAACTACGCCACGCACGATGACTTAGGGCAACCCGAGATTCCATCCTCGATGGGCAAGGGCGAAGCTATCATCAATGTTATGGTGGTGCACCACTCAAGAGACAAATGAATTCTTCTCATAGTACATAGTACATGGTGAGTATTAGTCAATTTACTAACATTTTTTTGGTGCACCCTGGTTCCAGTGCACCACGGTAACACAACGTGACTTCGCCCCTATCGATGGGACCACATAGGCGAGGTGGTGAAGCCACTATTTTTATCTCCATCCCGGCCTACCCTTTGACTCAATAAGTTTTAAGGGGCTATTTGGGTGAAGCTGTTTGGTTTTATCCCGTCTGGCCAAAATGACTGTCAACAACTTAATGACAACCATTGTATAAGTTGGTTGTTCAATCGCCTCATGATTACGTGGTATTACGTGCAACCATCATTTAGAAACATTACATGAGACCATTTTTTTACATAGAAACATTACATGAGACCATCTCGCCCTAAGAGAGGTTAAATGGACCTTTTCCTTTTTTTTAGAGGAAAATGGACCTTTTCCAACCAAATACCAATCGCACGGACGCAGCTCGTACTCATTCGTTCGGCTGGTAATTTTCGCTTGGGCCACGAAAATGAATGAAAACAGGCCATGTCAGCCCAAGCCCATTCTGGCCGAACGCTTTCCCTCTACTTTACGATCAAGCCCAGCCCAGAGGAGCGCGGCGACGGCGAACTCGCGAGCCGAGGCCGAAGGGTTTTGTGCTCTTCTTCTCCCGTTCCGGTAGTGCTCTCTCCGCTGCTCATGGTGCCGCCCCCTGCCGAGCGGCACTACCGGCTCCGCCCCCAAAAGAGCCCTAGCGGCATCTCTTCCGATTTCAGGTATGGCCATGGATTCTTCCTCCTCTCTTTGCTCTGCTGATCTCAGCAACAAACAAGTGCCCTGGCGTTGTGAAATCCCTTCCCTTCTTTTTGTTAATTATTAGTAATAACGAACAAACCCCCGCCCCCCGGGCTGTGCGGTGTGATAGTCTGATAGATGGAGTAGGTTCGGTTCCTCTGTGCTGCTCCTACAGGAGTCGCTTGGCCATGGATTATTCCTCCTCTCTATGCTCTGATGATCTCAGCGATAGACTAGTGCCCTGGCGTTGCGAAATCCCTTCTTTTTTGTTAATTATTAGTAAGGATTCCTATTAGTAATAACGAAGCCCCGGGCTGTGCGTTGTAACAGTTGGAGTAGGCTCGATTTGTCTGTGCTTCTCGTACTGGAGTCGCTTGGCAGCCCTCATAGATAGGTTGGATTTCGTGTGAGCTTTCCGGGCCAGATTTTGATGCGATTGGGTACGCGGTTAGTACCAAATAAGCCGGATAAATAGGTTAACGGGCTCTGCGATTTATGGCTGGATAAATAGGTTAACGGGCTATGCCAGTTGAGGAGATGGCTGGCTGCTACACGTTGCCTGTTCGTTTAGTTATCCACCAGTAATTTCTAGTAGTTTCTTTGTTTTAAATGTTTGAGTGGAATGTGCATACTAGGGTCTTAATTTGATGCGTTTCTGGCTCCGTTGATGTTTGCTCTGCGATTTATGGCTGGATAAATAGGTTAACTGGCTATGCCCAGATTCATCTTTTTCATGACAAGGTAGCCAGGTAGGCGCATGAGCCTTTTAGAAAGACAGAAAATGGGTGCCTCTTTGTTCACCCAAACAGACGCACCCATGTATTTTTTTCTCATAATTTCACTAAATAGATAGCGCGCTGCCTAGTTTACTCTTATTTGTGGCTTGTAGGAGATGTAGGAGAATTTGGCACAAAAGTTCTTCCGTGGGACCTTCTTAGCTTCATATCTAATCATTATGCTCTCTTCTATATGATCTGTTTAGTTCTTATCTGATCTGTATTGCTTCATATATATGTTATCTAAAGAAAAGTTCATCCATTTTGTCCACTTGCATGATCTAATCATTATCATGGTGAAAAAGAAGCTGAACATGATTCAGTACCGGTGAATGATCTCCAATTAATATCGATGTGATGTTGCTTAGTTAACTTAATTAGTAGCCCCTATGTTAGGATGGACAGAGGAGCTTTTAACATGTTTACAATTGCTTCAAAACATCATAATTTGCATTTTCGCTGCTTGATTAATTTCATTGCCATGATCTGATTATCTTCAATGCTTCATACTGAACTCCATCTCCTTTATTTCAGTCTCACAATCTGAATACCTAAAACACCTCCTTTATTTCAGTCTCACACTCTGAATACCTAAAACACCTTGAGATTACCAAACTTGCCAAGCTGCATTGCTCGATGGACGATCTCCCAGAGGCGCTGCTTGCAGAGATTGTCAAGTGGCTTACCAGTCCAAGTGATCTTAAATCTCTTTCTCTCGTGTCAAAGCGACTATATGCCGTTGAGGGATAGCTGAGGAATTCTCAGCCTGTTCGTTTGGCTGTGGCTTGTCGTAAACGATCATAAATTTCCAGCCGGAACAGTATTTTTCTCTCACACAAACTAGCCAGCAGTACTTCTTCACGAACCAGCAACGAAACGAACCAGCCAACCGAACAGGCTGTCTATGTACATTGGCTGTGGCGTTTTCCCTGTGACAGTGGCCTTGATTCGTCTGTGCTTCTGGTACCCCAATTTGTGCAAAGTGGAATTCAATTACTCTGGTTGGACTTCCAACCATGGGATGCAGTTGGACAAACATGGCCTCCAGGTGTTTTCATCTTGCTGCACCTCATTGACTGATCTCACCTTAAGCTTTTGCACTAATGTTGATGACTCAGGCCTTCGCCTTTTAGCGTGCTTCAAGAAGCTGATGTCTCTGAGGTTGAACACATTACCAGCAATAACTTCGTCTGGGCTTCTCCAAGTGGCTATTGGCTGTAAAAATCTATCTTCTCTCCACCTTATTGGCTGCAACAAAGTAGGTGGTGCAATGTGGCTGGAGTACCTTGGCAGGTTTCGATCATTGAAAGAACTTGTAGTGAATCGCTGTGAGATGATCAGCCAGTTTGACCTACTAAAGTTCAGTCCAGGATAGATGAAGCTTCAGAAGTTTGAGTTTCAGATCAAAGGTTGCCCCAATATATTTGATCCTCGTGATCCTTCATGTGTGGAGCACTGTCAGTATAGATATGATTTCAGCTTTCAGCTGTGAGAGTTTGGTGGATTTGACATTGGCGCGAGTTTCAACTAAGAAGGAAATAGGACTTCGTTATCTCCTGAGGAAGTGCAAGGCATTAAAGAACTTGTGCCTTTATTATGTTCTTGGTGTACAGGACAATGACATAGTTACGCTCTCCAATAACTGCAGCAACCTTACAAGCATCTCACTTCGGTTGACACCTGAGTTCAATGAAGGTCATGTTTTCAGGACATCATTGACTGATCACAGCCTTAAGGCTCTAGCCCTCAGGTGCAGTAAGCTTCAGTCTTTTGAACTCATATTTTGGGGATGTGATGAAATCTGGCCAGAAATAGGATTCACACAGGAGGGCCTTGTCATGCTTATTCAGTCTCGTCCGATTCGTAACCTCGTGCTAAGTGGTGCTCACATCTTTGATGACGAGGGGATGAAGGCCATCTCATCTGCACAATTCCTATAATCACTCGAACTTATGGATTGTATAAATGTAACTAATTCTGGGATGCGCCTCCTCGCACATTGCCCATGTCTGATTAACCTCACACTGCGGCAGTGTGATCGTTTCTATGATGCTGGAGTGACTGAGGTAGCACGTGCACGGAAGCTGGAGACCCTGGTTATTGAAGGTTGTTCTCGGGTCTCTCCAGAAGCTGTGCAGGGGGCTGCAACATCAGTTCACTAGACAAAAGATTACCCAGGCTTGTTCAATCTCGGCAGAGCGTGACTCTCAGGAAGGATGAAGCGCCCCACACTTTGTGCCCCAGGTTGAGGATTGCTCGTCATGGATGGCTGGAATTTTAATTTTTACACATTTCGTTGTCGATCCTTTTACTGCTGTGTGTGTTTCGAGAATGTTAGTGTGTAATTGCAATATCTGGGTGTTTGGAAGTTATCTGATTATTGGGCATCATTAATTCATAATACTTGCCAGTTAGTGACAACTGTGGTTTTGGTTTACTTCTGCTACTTCGGCTAGATAGTGGGAGTCCCTCTTATCAGACGAATGTCATGAAACATTTGTTTTTGGAAGACATATTTGCTGTTTTCTCCACTGCTGTTTTTTATGGCCAAGTTTAGAGGGTTTTTTTTTTGGCATGTATAAAGTATCAGCAGTTAAATTACGTGACCTTTTAACTTGGTTCTTCATATTTTCTGTTTCAATTTGCAGGCATAGTACTTTCTCATTTCCACTCGCTACTGACTTGTGCCTTTTTCGTTTTCCTTCCATTGCTCAATCTTTACCTAAGTGCTGAAAAAAAATTAGTCCATCTATGTCACGAATGCATGGTGGAACGCCCTTCGATTGTTTCCCCTTTGTAATTGTTCTGATTTATGAGGGGGACACATTGCATGAAGGCATTAGTTCTAATATTTTGCAGATACATGCTCGTAATTGTCAGGATAAGACATCAGCAACGCACAAATCTTCGATGGGAGTGATATCCTGCACGTGCATACACACGTAATAACAACAGGTGATTTTATTATTATAAAAAAGTTGGCAAAAATAAACAAGAAATTTGCAAAAGAAGGGGAAAAAGGGGACAACCCCTGTTCTACAATTGGAATCGGTGTCTCGTATAGATTTTTTTGGCCTTTGAGAATTCAGGCATCTTTGAAATCTTGTTCGCCATTCACCAATTAAAACTTAAAAGGGGTGAGACTATGTATGTAAAATTCTACGATCTATGCAATCCTTCTATTTTCTGAATAGTTGTGAGACTAGGGCTCTCTTATAGTTTTTTTTTATTATTATTGCCACTTTGTGTAGTACTGTTGTATTTGATTCAGCTGTGGGTATTGGAAAGAAGGGGAAAAGGGGTGTGCCCTGCTTGACAATTGGAATCGGTAAGCAGCCAGATTAATGTCTTTTCTTGAAAAACAGGAGAGCATACCATCTTTTCTGCCTTTGAAATTCCTCCCCGTAGTAGGGTCGCGTATGAATTTTTCGTGAGAATTCAGGCTTCACTGAATTCTTTTTCTCCTATTCACTAATTAAATGGGATACAGAAACTATGTATGTATAATTCTACGTTGTACACAAACCTCCCACGCCTGCGAATCAGTCAACATTTTGTACAAATTTTACGAACGGAAGCTCTTATTTTCATATATAGGTATTCCTTGCTTAAACTATGAATCTATTCTTTTCGGAAGAAAAAATAAGTCTCTTCACTCAAATTTTGAAACTCGGAAGTCATTACCGCAGAAAATACTAATCCTCTAAATCTTTGGTGTCCTTCAAATCTTCAGTATCCTTCGAGTATACGGTACACTTCGAGTCCTTATGGAGAAGTCTATAAATTATACGGCCTTTGCTAAAATCATAACGACTTCAATTTATCTCTGACAGACATCCCATTTCCATCTGGCATTTATGCCTCTGACATTCCATGACATCACATTCCATTTTCTACCATTGTTTGTTTCCATGATAAAACTATATCATATAACAGTTAACAGCCACATCATAGCTATGTTCAGTTCATGACATCATAACTAGATACAGACTAAAAAGAACTGACTCAAAAGCAACAGAAGCCAATCCCAGACCACTATCTAGGGATCATTGGCCTAGTTCTTATCTCCAGGTCCCCCATGCTGGCCTCCTTCTTCGTTAGCTACCTGGTCTCTGGGATTTCCTCCTTTCTTCCCCTTGGCTATCACCCTGGATTTCTTTTTCTTCTTGAGGGGTTCATCCTCAAAGTCTTCTGGGTTCATATCACAGAACTGCACGCCCAGGTTTTTTATAGTTTTAGTGAACAAAATTGGTGGGGCAGGAGAACAAGCTAGACACTTTTTCTCAGGGCAGCGAATGGACTTGGCACCACTATTAGATTGTTTAAGTCTAGGACTTCTCCTTACCTCACTGTCCACTATTGGAGTTCTCCTTTTCCTAGGCTTCTTTGCCTTTGTAGTGTCCCTGATTTGCTTCTCCTCTTGAATTTCCTCTAGAGTTAGGTGGGACAAACCTTTCTTTTCCGTGACAGGTTCAGAGGCACATATACACTGAATTCCATGTTCACAAGGATAGATTCTAGGTAAATAAAAATCAATGGCACCCCACTTACTGTCAAGGTGGCCTAGAGCATTGGAGGACAAGAACTCCTTGGCCCAGCAATAGTTGTCTGGATTAATTAACATCACTGTAAAGAAATTGGATCATTCTCCAGGAATAAAACACGGAACATTCCGTTGCGTAGAGCTTCGGTAACTAAACCTTCAAAAGTTATTTTTGCTTCTCTCGGTTTTTTCTCTCCTATTTTTTCTATCATATATTTTTTTGACGAAATTGGAGGGGCCAAGGCCCCTACAGGAATTTATTTTAAAAAAGGGGGGCAAACAAAGGGTTCAGTACAAGTATAAATGAACAAAGGGGGAGAGGAAACGGCTAAATCAAGAGACGAAAAAAGAGACAAAGAAAATAAAGATAAGCTAGCAGCTTGTTCTAGATTCTGAATCCATGAGGAAAACTGTTCTTGTTGATTTGCCTTTATCCTGTGCTTCAGAAGATTCAACTCACTGAAAAGAATCCTTTGACAGCCTACCAAATTCAGGCTGTTTCCTTTAAATATTAGCTCATTTCTTGCTGTCCAAATGGTCCAACACAAAAGTATGATTGCCTCCATGAAGAACTAGGTGTTTAATCGTGCTTTTAGCTCTTGACTAAATATGGGAAGTCATCATTTAAGGGTATGTCAATGTTCGTAATATCCAAAGCACATCCTTGTAAAAGAGCAATCTAGGAAGAGGTGAAAGGTTGATTCCTCCACTAGCATATTGCACAATGCACAATTATAAGAGTCTAGGTGCATGTTTCTTCTTCTTAGAATATTTCTGGTACTTAGTCTGTCCTTGATCAAAAGCCAAAAGAACACTTTATGTTTGGACTGACACTGGCTCTTCCACAGCCATTTATAAATGATGTGAACATTTGCATGGCCAACTAGTATTCAGTAGACTTTGGCAGATGCAAAAATATTGGATCCCCAAGAATATATCCATCTATCATTCCCTTCGCTGAGGGGGTGGAGTTGCATTTTCTGTTGAACCTCTTGCATTTGAAGGAAAGCCTGCTGTGACAGAGGTAGCTGAAAAAGATATATAAAATTTTCTTCGTTGAAAGCCTTACAAACTAAAATCTGCTTATTTTTGGCAAAGGAGAAGAGCTCTGGGGCAACTATTGCAAGGGGTTGATTGTCCCATCTGTCATGCCAGAAAAGAGAGCTTTCTCCACTTCTCACCTGTGGTCTGGCAATAGTCTCGAAATTAGCCAATAATTTGAGGGTATCTCTCCACCAGAAGGACTCCTTTCTGATATGACTTGGAAGCTTCCCACTTCTGTAATATTTTTCCCAGATAAGCTTTACCCATGGCAAATCCTCCTTACTAAAGAACTTGTGTAAATTCTTGGTAAGTAAAGCTTTGTTTTGTTTCTGATATCAATAATACCCAATCCACCTTCATCCTTTGGTACACATACCATTTGTCAGGCTGCTTTTGGGGGCTTCTTTGCATTGACATCAGATCCTCTCCAGAGGCAATCTTTCCTATATTTGTCAATTTGTTTAATGACCTCCTTGGGAAGAGCAAGGGAGCACATGAAAAAGGTAGGTAAGGCAGAAAAAACAACATTTGTCATCTGCAATCTACCAGCCTGATTCAGAAATGAGGAAAGCCCAGATAGTCTTCTTTCACATTTATTCACCATTGGCAGGAAATTATGAGCTCTAGGCCTGGCAATACTCAGAGGTAACCCAAGATAAGTGAAAGGTAAGCTTCCCTTGGACCAACCAAATGTTCTTGCTAGCACTTCCAACCTTTCATCTGATACATTTATTGGGACCAACATCGACTTGCTAAAGTTTACCTTGAGACCAGTGGAGAGGGAAAATTTGTTCAGCAGAGCTTTGAGGAAAAATAACTATCTAGTGTCTCCCTCCACAATGATTAGTGTGTCATCTGCATACTGAATTACAGGGAAGTCAGATGTGGATGATGTTGGAATTGCTAAGTGTAGAAGCCCCATGTCCTTTGCCTTATTAATCATTGACTGAAGAAAATCTGCTGCAAGGACAAAGAGAAGAGGAGATAGGGGATCCTCTTGCCTGACACCCCTCTTGCAATGAAATGTCTTCCAGGTACCCCATTTAGAAGTATAGCAGAGGTTCTTGAAGACATGATGGCTTTCATCCAGTCTAACCACTTCTGTCCAAACCCTTTTGCTTTCATCAAGGTTTACATGGCCTGGTGTTCAATCTTATCAAACGCTTTCTCAAAATCAAGCTTGATAATTACAATCTCCTTTTTTGAATGATGGCAAAGGTGTAAATACTCAAAAGCCCAGGCCAGAAAATCTTGGATTGTTCTTCTCTTTATAAAACCAAACTGATTTTTGTGAACTAGAGTTATTATGACAGGTTGCAATCTATTAGCAAGCAACTTGGTGACCAGCTTGAC